TGATCACTCCTCACATCTAGAACATACCTTATACCGAAAGTAGAGTGTAAGGAGCGGATACAAATCACTACGACCTACATTAATATACATGATCTATGTTGCGGGACAACGATTCAAAGAGAGTCCAGTAGATGGAGATTTTCGCGCCTTTCCAGCTGAGGCTCTGGAAGCAGCCAACTCTAACTGGACGAGAGCAAATTTACAAAGCGGCATCACCCGGTGCTTTGATCACCCGCGAACTTGCATCCGAGTTGATTCAAACAACCTTTTAGCACCTTCCATGACATGAACTGAAGCTAACTAATAAATGCACTGGAACTGCACCGGCAGATGCTAAGGATCAACTCATCCATGCATCTCTGATGAGGTCTGAAGCCCTTTCAGCCAAGATATAGACCGGAGCTTGTGTATGGCCCGAAGGTATAAAGGGCTAAGAGTGTGTGCATGAGTAGCATCAATCATACTGAAACAAATGCCTCACCAGAACCGAGGCATCGACGATCCGAAGCCCTGAGAGTCCCTTTACGCGCAAATCTGGGTTGACGACGCCATATCCAGCATTCTTGGCAGACATCGCGGCAGTCCCGATAGGATGGTCCCCGGGAATTGTGGACTGGAGGATATACTTGTCCAACTCTTCATCGGTAGTTGCATTCTCAAGGCCCGTTGGGGGCCCAACGACATAGTCCTTCCACGCCGGAGTAGCTAAGAAACGTATGGAACGTTTTACTGCTGCGCGCATGGCAAATCTATCAAACTCAGAGCCAAGGAGTCCGGGGTCAATGCGAGGGTTATCGAAGGGGTTGGAGGTCTCTAAGGTTATATTGCCGCCTGCAAGAATTCACTTTTTCAGTTTTGGGAGGATGCCAGATGAAATAAACGTACGGCTTGTAGGAGTAACGACAATCTGCCCAAGTGTCATGAAATCGCCTTGTGGTGCCTGTCCGTGGCCCCTGTTCTATGTAAACTCGAGTCTATGAATGAAGCCAGCCGAATTATTGGGTACGCACGAAACCGAATATTTCATAGTGGGGCGTGTTCGTGCCGGACGAGGGGTCGGCAGATACTTGGAAAATTGACGCATTATCCGGCAAGCGAGAGAACATGATCTCCGAAAAGCCGGTTGCGACCAGGGGTCCTGTCTTGTTTACCTTCCACTGACGGAGATATTTGGTTTGAAGTGCCGGATCTCTCACAATGCTAGTGGAGCACTCGACTTCAATTTCTCGGATGGACAGATCCTTTTAAATGGACGTACTCGTCGAGACTGATGTCGTTGGCATCGACATTGGCGGACCAAGAGCTAAAAATTATAGGATGCTCCGACATATTTTTGCCGACGCTGGAAAGTTGATGAAGAGGCTTCACCCCAGCCGCTTGAAGTTCTGACGCATCCCCGATGCCGGAACTTAGCAGGATATGTGGTGTGCCCATTGTCCCTGCAGATAGAATGATTTCTTTAGAAGCAGATATCCGAGTGCGAGGTCCTGTGTCAAGTGATGATGAACGACTCATCAGGGCAAAAACACAGTTCTCCCGATACATACCAGTGGAACTTTGTCCAACTTCTACAGTCCGGAACACCGGCTGGCGTCCAGAACCGGTCGTCTGGAGGATGCGAGTGACCCTGTGGTTTACAAGAACATGCAAGTTGCTTCGTTCCAAGAATTTTGGCGCGATATACGAGGTAGCTGAGCTGCTTCTCTTGCCTTTGTTGATGGTCGACTGTAGCCAACCTAGAACGAAGGTATAAGCGAGGAGAAAATCACAAGCAAGGCAATTTGTAGAAAGGGGAGGCGCATACCGATTCCAATAGGATCCCCGGAATTCATGTCTTGATTGTACGGGATCTCATCTCCCAGCTCTGTCGCGGCTTGGAACATGCGAGAGTTGATGGGTTGTGGGAAACCAGTGAGACTGACGGAGTTGATTCCATTGAAACCGTGCACAGAAGGTGTAAACTGGCCGCTGGTGTTGTGATTGTCGCTTGGTGCCGTCCAACGCTCGTTCTAGACACTGTTCGTATAGACGACTGAGATGATGACGAGTAGACGCACTCTTCGGATGTATGGCTGTAATTGCTTCCAGGACCAGCCCTGATCTCCTGTTACCTTCGCAATGCGATCGAAGTCAGATGAGGAACCGCGTGTGTAAACCATCCCATCTTGAGAGCAGTCAGCCCCAATCGCACCACGCAGCGGAAAGACATCTTACTAATTGAACTAGAACCTCCAAGAATATGGCCTCTTGGGTAAGGCATTACGCGTCCATTGAGGGCTGTTTGCGGCGTAGTCGTAAAGTTCCAGTCATATCTCGACCCAATAAGTTTATATTGGAAGAAGGGTACGATTGAATCAATCACATCCTCGTTCCTTTGGGATCGTAAGCTTGAATGACGAGATAACTGAATCCTAAACTCACGACGGCCCACCCTCAATGACAAGGACTTTCCATGCCGGGTTCTCGGTCAACCGGTTTGCGATGACATTCCCTGCGGTGCCGCCTGCGTTCAAAGTAACCCGTGAGCACTGGAGCCAGCAGTGTTTCTCATTGGAGGTAATCTCACCACCAACGACAATGAAATCATAGAAAGCGCTTGGCAAGTCTTCAAACCGATCCTGGATAACGGCCAAAGAGGAATGTGTCAGCAGAAGGAGGGGCAAGAACCACCAGTATCGTCCCATGTCGAGTACCGAGAATCAATCAGGCGATGAAGCGCAAAGCCGGGCTTTTAAGCCCAAGGCAAACTAATCCTGCATCTTCTCTCTCGTAATAGTCACAGGATGAATAGGAGTTTCGAGAAGCATCCTGACAGGCTCCAGCATGGAGTAACGCTGGTCTCTGCGAAAGTCATCGCTGTAAGACTTCTGACCGATGGAGATGGCAATGTCAAAGACGGCATGATTAGTCTTTGCCATACTCCGGATATAAGTTGAGCCTGAGAGTAAAAGCCATGAGTGGCTCCAGGTATAAAAAGGAAGAGTGATACTCACGACAAAGGATTCGAAGACATGATGTCGTAAATGTGCACTTCCTTACTCGCTAGTTATGATGGGATGTAGGCCACGGGTCTGGATGCAGGCCTTCTTAGTTTCCGATGGAAGGTGGGAAACGCAATGCGGCATCAGCTGCCTAGGTATTTTAGAGCCAAATAGATAAATAAAAGGGCAACTCAGATAGCATCGCTGCCAGGGGGGTGCTAGATAGTAAGGATCGCGATCCAGCCATGTATGTTTGATGAGGTCTGCCGCCCGCTCAGCGATGATACAGACAGCAGCTTGACTATGGCCCCACGGTACAAATGGCTAAAAGAAATACCATACGATTAGCTGGTAGGCATGCCAGGTTGCATTCGACTCACCATAATCGAGGCATCCACGATACGAAGCCCTGATTCCCCCTTAACAGCAAGGTCGGATCCCCCAAACCATGTTTCGCACCCCGAGGCGACATCGCCGCTGTCCCAACAGGATGCGCGCCTATCCCTACCGTTTCGTGAATGAGCTCGTCCAACTCTTCATCAGTGGTCATCTCCACTGCCGAGTTCAAGCATGATATGCGGCGTTCCTATGACCCCCACGACCAAGATGACTTCTTTTGAAACGGACATACGAACACGGCGAGACCCTGTACCAGATGATATGAGTGGCTCGGTAAAAAGTAAACTCAGCTTTTGGAAAACACGCCGGTAGAATCCTGGGCAATTTCCACCGTCCGGATGCGTATCACTCGTGTATTAAGAACGATATCTAGATCGTGTCGCTTCAAGAATTTTGGTGCAGGTACGACGTCGCTGCGCTGCTTCGTTTGCCTCTGTGTATTGTCGATTATAGAACGCGTGAATAGATATCAAAATAGGGAGTACACATACCAATTCCAATAGGATCACCAGAATTCATGCCTTCGTCGTACGAAATATCCCCCCGAGTCCTCTGCGGCTTGTAGCACACGAGAGTCGATGATTTGCGGAACGCGAGGAAAGCTGACGGAGGTCATGCCCTCGAACCCGTGTGCAGAAGGAGCAAACTGGCCACTTGTGTCGTGCTTGTTGGCTGGCTCAGTCCATCGCTCTGCTTGAGCAAGCGTTAGATAGGATGATGAGAGCAACGATGGACGGACATACCTTTCGAATACAGGGTTGCAACTTCTTCCAGGATCAACCGGGATCTGCAGTTGCCTTCGCGTATCCATCGAAACCAGATGAAGAACCACGCGTGTAAACCATACCAACTTGAAGAACAGCTCCAGAGAATTCCAGGCCCACACAGGGGAACGTCTTACTGGTTGAGCTGGACCCTCCAAGAACATGGCCCCTTCAGTAGGTAAGGACGCGTCCATTCAGAGCATTCTGCGGCGTAGTCGTGGAATTCCAGTCGAGAAGGGCGTTTTCACAATAGAATACTGGAAGAAGGGAACAACTGCATTTAGTACACCTTCGTGTGTTTGTGGCAGTCAGCTCTGAGTAACGACGCGACGCAAATGCAAGCTCATCATGGTCCACTTTCGATTACAAGCACCTTCCATATCGTAGATGATGAGGTCGGCTGTTGGCACGCTGAAACGACTCACGCAAACACCGGGATCAGGCACGATTGAATCCTTGCCAAACTTCGGAACCGATTTCTTTGTAAACTGGGGGAGACTGTGGTTGGTGGCAGGACAGTGGTCAAGGAGAATGACGATAGCCCCGGCGTCACAACACATAGATTAGATTAGATATAAACTCTTTACCCTCAAATATACCATGCCTTCGTCTTTCGTCAGATCTCGCCCTCCCTTCTCATTTCATGCACAATCGCTATGACCTGCGTTCCAGGTCCCGGCATTCTTCATCCTTGCACCCTCCCCAGACCCCACAACTTGTTGACAAGCAGATTCCGGGCGGCACGATATAAATAGAATTGTTCCTTACTGGCAGTGGATGGACATCCGACATTCCGGTACATGGGTCACTATGTCATGGTCTCCCAATTGGAAAAAAAGGTTCAACAAATCGTACAAGGCACTGCCAGGACTCGAACCTGGGTTACGAGAAGACGGACCGCGCATCTCCTATTAGGAGTCCTGCTCATCAGAATCTCGAGTGATAACCTCTACACTACAGCGCCTTTGCACCGCACACACTCGAAGCCATAATCTGGAGACTGGGAGACGTCAAAGTATAGAGCAGCAAAAATCAGAGATCGGCCGAGGCATCAAAATATGTCTGGATTAGAGGCTCTGCCAGGACTCGAACCTGGGTTTCGAGAAATTCCATCATCAGAATCTCGAGTGATAACCTCTACACTACAGCGCCTTGTACAATGCTTCATCTCTAAATGACATGAGGTTCATCATACTAAGAAATGCCTGACATCTGACCACAAAAAAGTGATCATGCATTTAGGCACTGCCAGGACTCGAACCTGGGTTACGAGAACAATGATCGTGTACGACAGCGTCAGAATCTCGAGTGATAACCACTACACTACAGCGCCTTATACAGTCTCCCCACAAATATTTACAAGTCCTTACCCAAACACAGGATACCCAAGTCCCAAGGATAAATTTGACTACATATTGTATATCCGCACGAAAGCCCACATATACACCCCCGCCCTCTCCAGCCCAACTCCTAAAGACGAACAAACGCCATCCGCATACACGGCCTCTTCACATTCCTCTCCCTCGCAACCTGCTCCACCAGCGCCCTCGTAATCGCCACCGTCCCCCCCGCACCTCCCCCGCCAAAGCCATCCATCCCGTCAACCTCCACAGCACTCACACTCCCCTCACCCACGTCCACACCACCTCCGGCACCATCCGCCTCGGGCTCCGCAACACGCGCCCGCGACCTCGCATGCGCCACGAGCAGCCCCACCTCATTCATCGCAAACGCCGCATCCTCCACACGTAGATTCGTCGCGCGCGCAATGTCCGCGAGTGTACACCGTACCGAGACGTGTGTCACTGCGCCGCCATCTTCGCGCTGTACGGTCTCAAAGGGGCGTTGGGTTGTGAATATTGGATCTGTGTTTGGGGAGAGGTAACCCAGTCAGCGACCAGTCACGGATAAAGGCGGGAAGAGGTAAGAGGGGAGAGAGGGAGAGAAGAGCGCACCATCAATATAAATAAACGGTACATCATCCGCATCCACATTCGGATCCTCCACCTCCCCCGCCCACCCCTTCGTCTTCTTCTTCGTCTTCCTCACCCCATTCCCATTCCCATAGTAGCTCTGTCCATGGCCGATGCTGTTACTATGCCCGTTGACGCTGATGGACGCGTCCTCGGAGTCGCCGGAGGGCGAACGCATGATGCCGGGGAAGCCGCCGAGGGTGGTGATGCGCTTCGTGTCGGGTGGGAGGGTTGATAGGACGTGCCTGGATGACGAAAACGTCAGTTCTGATGTTTGTAAGAGGCGAAAGGAGAAGGGATACACACCGGAAGAAGCGGATGAGCGTGGAGACCCAATACGCAAGGTAGCTCCGCAGACCGAGATCTGAGAGTGGACGCTCGGGTGTGCCTATTTTACCCGCGCGTCGCGAGAGCTCGTAGCCTGTCCACCAATGCACCGTTAGTCGCCATTAGGGAGTGAAAAACAGAGGAAAGGACCGACTGAATTCGATCATGAGCATTCCATAGCCTTTGCGCTGGTACGGCGGCAGCGTCATAATGCATGCAAGATTGTAATCGTCGTATGATACCTTCTCCTGCAATGCCAGTCAGCCTTCAATACCTTCATACATCCGGGGTTTGGGTAGGGAGACGAACTTTGGAGAAGAACCCGAGGATGTGGTCCTGCTTCGACGTGCTGTCCGTCAGGATGTAGAACAGGACTGGCGAGCAGCGATATCAGGTTACGAGGTAGGATGGAAGGCCGGAAGGGAAGAAAGCTCACAGTTATCACAATCGAAGAAGAGCGTTTTGACGTCGATGAAGAGTTTTCCGAAGAGGGAGAGGTTCTGGCAGTACAGCTACGTTCCGCATATCAGTCAAAATTCGACTAAAGTAAGAGAGATTGACCAGACCGCACCTTCTGCTTCGCGCCATCCACCTCCCATATCGAATGCGCCCCTCTCTGGTAAACCCTCGTCCCAGGCGGATAATCCACCGTACAATATTTCTGCACCCCCACCGCCTCATCAGAACAAGAACCACCCTCAAAAGCAAACACGCTCACCACATGTAAATCATACGAATTCCCATCCGCCATATACTTGAAACACTGTTGACAAACCCACAACATCGCCTTCTCCCCGCCCACATAATTCCTCCCCAGCCCACCCGCCAACAAATCCGAAGTACGGCCGTGGGAGCGCGGGGTGGCTTTTTGCACGCCGGGGATTTTGGGGGTGTGGGGGTGGGGGAGGGAGGGGGAGGCGGTGGAGGTGGAGGGGACGGCGGGAGGGGGCTCGTCGATTTCGGTGTCGGTTAGTGGGTAGGGGGAGAAATACCTGGGGATGGGGAGTGTTAGTGTTGGGAAAGGGGTAGAGAGAGGAAGGGGAGGGAGGGGAGGGAATGGGAGGGGAAACACACCATGTTTTGACCTGCCACTCCCCAAAATGAACCTTATCAAAGTTGCGCTGTGCAGTAATCTGCTTGTGGTGTTGAATATCGTACTCCTCCTCTGTCATCGCCACCTCAGCGGGTCCAGCAGGTGTAGGTTCAAGTATCAACGGGGCATCGCCATTACTTTCTGAGGTTGGGGTCGGCATCGGGACTGGGGTGGGTATTGGAGTTAGGTCGACCGCTATAGGTTGAGATTCCCGTGCTGGTATAGGTGCTGGTACGGTAGCAGCATCGGGGGAAGAGGCAGCAGCAGCAGCGGACCGAGAAGGGTGAGCAGCAGGAGGAACTGGCGATGGACGAGCGCTATATTCGCGCGGTGGCCGGCCGCGTTTTCGTTTCTTGCTGGGTTCGATACCGTTCCTGCTGAAAGGGGCACTCTGGTCTGAGGGGCCTGCGATGCCAGGGCCAGAGAGTGGTGCCATGGTCTCGTCGGTGAGTGGGTTGGCGGGGCCGATGACTTCGCCTGAGAGGCTCAGGGTGCGGGGCGCCGGTGCGGGTGCAGGCGGTGGCGTGGGGATTCGAGCACCAGAAGCAGACGCGGAAGGGGCAGGGAGAGGAGGGGGAGCAGCGAGTGTGACAGTGTCGTTGGGGACCCATTCGTCCATTCTTTTATCAGTGTTTACGTAGTGCACATATACTTCTTTTTCGCGGCGACTTTTGACATGTGCCGGGCCTGGCAGGGCAGAAGCAGGCCTCGTGCATCAGATAAGGAATCAAGGGAGTAAGGAGGACAACCCTTGACTTACGCGGTGCGTGCCCGTTCTTGGCCACCAAGTACACGGTCTCCTCCGGGACTTCGACGATGTGCGTCGTGGGCATACTGGAGGGAGACTAAGGTATATTCAAGTCAGGGGCAGCGCGTCGAAAAAGAGGTCTCCCCAGAAGACGTCGCCGACGCTGCGCAAGTTGTTTGTTGCAATGTTTCATCAACAGCACTACTACAATTTTCGACTACTCCAAGCGCCTCACACATTGAGATAGAATCTGGCATAATCATTCCCTAGCATAAGGTTGCATGGTGTGGTACTGGACGTATGTAGTATGGGATTTGCGGAGATGATTCATGACAGCAATGCACAAAGAGACAAGAGAAGAGAAAAAACGAAGATCGATTGGATGATAATCTACGCTGCGACAACATCCTCGTTCGCCACCGCGAGGAAGACCTGACGTTTCTCTTGCACACGGGCAATGCGACGTTCCCGGGCAGCCTGGAACAAGATGAGTCAGTATTAATATGTGTGGACGAGAAGTGTAAACGGACCTTGTTCTTGATGCGGCGGGCCTCCATCTGGTCGGTGAGGACCTTTGTGCGGGTTTTCTCGGCCTTGGCCTTGTGGATGTACTCCATGAGCACACGCTTGTTCTTGAAGACGTTACCCTTGGATTTTTGGTAGAGCGAGTGGTACCTGTCCAACAGAAAAAAAATCCCCTCATGAGCACCAGAAACACACCCCGAACCAAAGGGCAAACGCAACGCACAGGTGCTTGTCAATCTTGCCCGCCTCTCTGTACTTCCTGAGCAGCCGCCTCAACACCCTCTGCCTGCGCATCCACAGCACCTTCGAGGGCATACGAGCCTCCGACGTACCCTTCCTCTTACCAGGGCCAGTGTGGCGACCCTTGCGCTTAGCAGCGAGGAGTGCCCTCGTGCGCGCGCGTGAGTGGACAGTGGTAGGCTTGATGATCACACGGCCATCCTTGATGAGCTTCTTGACGTGTGTGCGGGAGTTGGCGTTGCCGATCTCGGCCTGCTCAGCGGGGTCGAGCCAGATTTTGCGTTTTCCGACGCCGGCGACGCTTGCGGCGAGGCGCTTTTGCGACCGGAGGTTGACTAGGATAACGAACTTCGATTAGTTCCTTCAAGGGTGAAGTGGGGACAAGGGAGGGGGCGCACCCATCGTTAGTGTCGGGTCTGGAGACGGGGAGGAGGTTAGTGGTTGAGAATGGGCTGAGCAGCGAGCTGGACTTGCCTTGGTCTTGAGGATAATCGTCGATGGAGCTCGCCCACTCAGGACTTCTGTCTCGGGAGTCAGCTGTTACGTAAGACAGCCACCCGGAACCTTAAATTTTGGAACTGCATAGGTCCTGTACTGGCCGGTCCACTATCGGTCCGCTTTCTTGCCTCCCGCCCCTCGCAAGTCCATCGTACGATCCTCCACACGAACAACAGGTAACTTATTGCTGATAACAACCTTAAGGAATACATATATTGGCTGCCTCTTGCACGGACACAATAAGATACGGCATCGCCGAAGCCACAGAGATAGTTTTTGCAGCAACAGAGTTTCGTGACAATGAAGTTCTGAAACTTACATACCGATAGTAGATACTAAGGTCTACTAAGGTTCCTCTTCTCGATGGAAAATGATCCCAAGCCAACCATGCTTGTCTCGCGGATCCCTCAACGTCATGAGGGGTAGAGTAGTAGTGCTCTACAAGCGATCTAAAGCAGCACTCCCGCAGCATCGCTGGTTGGTCTGTCTGGTGAGGTATCAAGCTCATGTTGTATGATTTTGACGCATCACGATGACGGCAACGGCGCTGTAGTGTAGTGGTTATCACTCGAGATTCTGATTGCGTGTTCGCAAGCTTAACACTTCGCAATTCTCGTAACCCAGGTTCGAGTCCTGGCAGTGCCTTCGTATGTGTGTATAGAGAGTTTTTACTCATCGACTTGTGGGTATTCCCTCTGAGGTCAATCTGGACTCTGACTGGCGCTGAGGTCAGAATCATCAGATAGGCCTGGGTCGTCTGTCCAAATGTTTCTTAGGGTAATGGCGGCCGAGCTCATGGGCGACCAACTTATTCCGATTCATTATCATTTTTACTCATCGACTTGTGGGTTCCGGACCGAGCCTCTCGAGTCTCAGGTCAGTCTGGCGTTGACTGGCGCCGGCGGCCGGGGTCAGATAGTAATACTCCTTTTGTTTCCTGGTCAGGCGTTCTGCCAGGTAATGGATCATATGTCAACGGGCTATGTACATGGCGCTGTAGTGTAGAGGTTATCACTCGAGATTCTGATGATACGATTTCTCGAAACCCAGGTTCGAGTCCTGGCAGAGCCTTGCATCATGATTTGTCGCAATGATTTTTGATGAACAGGCGTCCTCTTTTTGCTCCCCCACAGACCCGAATGACTGCGTACGCAAAGCGTGATAATGTAGAGGTTATGGCTCCGAATCATCAGATGAACATTCGTGAGCACTCGAGGCCTGAAGGCAGCTTCGAAGAACTGGCCGTCGATCACCAAGGTCGGTGACATCACACACGTCTTCAACGAGGAATATAGACCTTTCGACGATGTTCCGTGAACTGAATATGAGCAAGCGCCGATTCCAATAACTGCTTAGATTCTCTTCGAAGTTCCACCATCATGCCGCCGCCACTCCAACTTGGTCATAATTCACCGGAATACTCTTATCCCATCCCCATAGTCGTGTTCCTCCAGAACGTATACGTGGAATGGATATTGTTCGTACTCGTGGCAATCATCATGGTGATACTCATGATCAGGTATGTAATTTTTGGTCCTCAGGTTGGTACGAGCTTGCATTGACGACATGATGATCATGTTGCGCAGGTGGTCAAAATTCTGACGTGGTATCGATGTGCTGGTAGAAAGAACCTGCCATACCAAGTCTCCTGGTGACAACATTCTAGTGAGCAGATCGTCCGTCTTCGCGCCACATCCTCTGATGATCGATTATGCTATTCGTAAAATTAGAAGACACTGTACCATCGTGATCACTGGCAGCACTGGAAGCTACCAGTGCGCACTCTTGGCTCATTGTCACATATACTACAATCGTTCCATCGAGTAGGTGGCGAAGGATGGAACGAAGTAGCGTGGTGGGATCCTACTCCCTAGAACAAGGACGACGTTTTCCATATGTGTCAGTAAATCGGATAAGATTAGATGCCGTCCTCGTTGTCAACTTCGGACTCAACCGGGCCTTCATCCACATTCATGAGAGCGGCGGTCATGTATGTTGGCCTGCTGCCTATGGCCACAATCATATCTTCTTTTTGTCCGTTTGATCTTTCTTTCCCCTTGCAACTAAAACGGACGTCTCCCCGAAGCATCAAATCCTCACTCTCATCATGGTATTCGCCTTCAGAAAGCAACCTCGCAACATGATCGTCTACCTGATTTTCACTGTCGCTTCGCCTTCCATACTATATGTTCGACCACCTTTCTAAATGATTTCATCGCATATTCGTCTTTGAAAAGCAACAGCTCAACACCGTCTACCCAATTTTCACTGTCGCATCCATACTATACGTTCGGCCACTTATTAGGTGATTTCATCCCTCTTACCATCTAGAGACCTCGCCATTTGAGAGGACCAGCGCCATCAAGCCGGCAAATGATGCTCAAATCAGTCTGCGACGACAATTCAAGACTTAACCGTAAGTTATGCTCGTCTCTACCGAAACCTGATGAGAAACTGATATCGCAAGTCAGGTATGGGCAGTTTTGACTTCTGTTTCACCTCATGCGAATAGTGGGATTGGACGCCACATTTTTCTGACTTGAACGCATCTGACCATCTGCTAACCACCTTTCATCGCAAGGATGGTCTGACAACGCCCATTGTGCGGCTTATGACTGGCCTTCTATTCTCTATGACCGTCCTCGACATTTTCGCTGGCAGTCCTCTCGCTCTAGAAGCAGATGCTTTCCGGTACCCTTTTCTTTAGATGGCTCAGCTGGTCCACTTCCCATTCAGCACTCGGCCTAGACTCTGTAACAAATAGACATTCTCCCTATGAGTGCGGACGGTGGGTCCATCCACTGTGTCAACCTTCAAAGATAGGTCTCGTAAATCCACTAGCGATGGCTAACTGGAAACGGTAAACCAGTTAAAGCACAGGTATATAAAGGGTATGCGTGGGCTCTATATCTTCCAGCCTTCCAACGCACAAACCATCTCAACTATGTTCTCAAAGATCTTTCTGGTGCGATTCACCAATTCCACTGTCAATCCCAGACGATTGATGACCCTTTCTTTCAGACTTTTGCTCTTGCTACCGCTATGGGAGGAGTTCTGGCGGTCCCGAGAATCGTGCCCTTCGACACCAAAGCCGACATTGCCATCGTTCAGGACCCCATTGGCAACGGAGACAGCCGCATCTACTACCAGCCTGCATCTGGGACCATCACTGAGTATTCTCTCTCGGGAAATTTCGACAACGGAAAGACTAAAGGCACCGGTCCTCTTGCGATTGTCCCCGCAGCCCAGGCGCTCCAGGGTACTCCTATCGAAGCGGTCGTCTTCAAGGGATACCAGGAGGTATGCCGTGCATCCAGCGTCCCACGAGAAACCACCCCAGACTAATCCCATGCTATCATCTCATAGGTCCATTTCTTCTTCTTGTCGCCAGATGGGATACTCAGCGAGTACTACTACTCCCCGAAGACGTCATGGAGGGGCGGCCCGAATTGCGCTGAGTGCGTCACCGCCTTAAGGATCAAGGTCGGGAATCGGGCGCTGTCCGCGACGGTCAATCCCGTGGACAATGTCATCGCTGTCGCGTTCGTGAGCGCTGCGGCACCTAACACTCTCAGCGAAGCTATAAAGAGGAACGGGAGATGGGCTGTGGCAGGTCTCCCCGGCCTTTAAACCATGCTAGTGAGATTCTGGTTCAGCGTTCATATGTCGCTATAGGCATCCTCTGTCTCGAGATTTCTTTCTGGTATCCAGTTGGTTATCCTCCACTCGTTATCATAAAATTGTACAATATCCTAAGGTTATGCGAAGGTATCTACACTCTCGAGTCTTGTCGTTTCCACCAAGGTCGCTTAGTCATCCCCTGGGCGTCCTTCCTTCCCATGATGATCGTGTTCAGTTTGTCCTCTCTCTTGCGACCACAGTAACCAGCGGCCTCACCCCGTCCATTTCACGAGGACAAACTCCGGCACACGGAACCTATGCTGGGTTTAAAGATTCTAACGCCACAGTAATCATTGGCACCTGATGCATCTCGGGTTCTCATCGACGTGTACTTTGGGCTGCATATGGCACTGTCCTCATACCTGCTGACAGCCCTAATATTCCGGTAACGCCTACCCAAGGCCAGGTTGATGGGGACGGGACCTGCAACAGATCACCATCTCTTAACCACGCACTGAAGGCGCGCCAGTCTTGTTTACGCACTCATATTTGGTCTGGAAAGCTAGAATCCGTCGGGAATAGCACGCTGAGGCGCGTTATGTTCGCGTTCTAGGGACACTGCTATGAAGGAAAGGACAGTTGATGGGGGTACTTCGGGGTTTTTCGCGCACATGTGCGCTATGAACGCAGTCCCTGTTTCGACTCGTTTTTTGAATTGAGGGACTCTTGGTGCTGCTATATATGTTACCTTCAAGGGGTCCAGCAGCTCATGGACTTTTCCTTCTACATGTGGAATGTCGAAAGGAATCCCTTCCGTTTCTCCTTCCATTTGCGACCGGGGTGGCTCCTATTGGTGACTTGGGCTCTCCTTTGGTTCTCCTTGTCGGTCCGCTCGATATCTGTTCGAATATCATCCGCTTCTCTTGCAATTAAATGCCATACCCGAATGGCGCCTGTTTCTCTTTTACGCGAAATTACATCCATTGCCGGTGCTCATGTACCTCCGTCCGAGCACTCAACTCTACGCCATACCGGACCCGGTCCTCTCCTGTGTGACAAAGGAAGGTCCCCCATTTCTATTAAAGTACCTCGCACCGTAGCTAACCCTTGATTGCAGCCGATAAACGGGCCTTAGAGGTATCAGTCTCGGGTACCCCTTATCATTGATAATTTCTCCTTCCGCGACGGCTTCAGATAATGTCATCCCTCGTTCTCTGGCGAATGCGGTCCGAAGTATCAGGATACGTAGGACAGCCTGTCGCATCCCACACTGGCCGTCATCCACCAGCATATGCACGTATAGACACAGCGTATAGGGGCGCCCGCCGGGGGAAGAGCGATCGCCGTTCTAATGTCGACCTCCCATGCTCATTCAGGGTGGCTCCAGTTCCTCGAAGTATATCAGCATCGCCTACCTCACGGTACTATAACCACACACCGTCCAACATTAGGGCCCCACTGGGTACCTATCTCGGTGTTTCCGCCAGTACCGGTTGCCCCCCGGCCAGGGCGTTTCGACGTCGGTAATACTTCTGGGGCGTATGCTGGCTTTGTGATGCCTTTCTTCATGCCATAGGATGTACGAGTGTGATGATAAAGGGCTCAGGCTAATATCCCTCTGCCGCATGTGTACAGCAGCACCAGGACCTGTAGTTCGAGCCTGGGTGATAGGAATTCCATAGATTTCGCCACTGTCAAGATCCAAGATGCAGTACGTATAGATTGCAGAATCTATAGCACAGGTAAGCCCGCGAATAAATCCCTCACCCGGATTACGATGATTGATGACCCAGGTAGACGTAAATGCCCTATTGAAACATGTTTACCGAAAGTGCTCCATATATATTATGTGCCCCCTCGTGCGCGCACCACGCACCTTACCTTATGCTTTGCTGGCAACCTGGCTAATGTCGTTTATTATCGTTTCTCCGGCTTCTCGTGTAGATTTCGAAGCAAAGATCTGCCTTGGCGTGTCAGAGGAACTGCCATGCGCTAGGCCATGCGTCACCAGTGCAGCACCATCTCGCTGGGGACACATTCATGTACGTTCCAGAACTCGAAGCGTCAGTTTGGGGATCAGGCCCTCATCAGGGCTGGCGGGTGGTGACAACCTTTATTGCCGGAGGTGCTGCGAACTTTGCCAGTGAATGACACTGTCAATGTCAGGTCTTCGGTGAGTCGTGGCGTGTCAACTGGGTTGTAATTTGAATTCCAGAGAGCGATTATCGCCGTTCGATGATAATATGATGGTAGGATTTGATTCCTGTCGGTGACGAACGCGGAAGCTCTGTGGCTGGTCATCTGTCATGATCAGGGAATATGTTGTCGTCATCCGCGCCGACTGGTGGGATACATGGACCCTTTGAAGGATTCTTGTATGTTATGGTCTAGGATGGTTATCACAATGTATTTTTAGACGATGTTTTCTTCCTCGAGGCCAGACTTTTTCG